GCATATATACTTCTTCCTGCAAATCTCCATTTAAAAATGCATTGTTTATGTCTACCTGTCTCAAGCACCACTTCTTTTGAACATCTACAGGAAGTATCACATTGATTGTGAAGGACTTTTCTACTGGACTGAAGGTGTCCTGAAAGTCTTGCCCAGGAATTTGGGAAAAGCCCCTAGCCACTAATCTGGCTTTGTACCTTTGTAATGTGCCATCTGCATTCCTTTTTATTATAAACAGCAATTTACATCCAACTGGGAATCTGCCCTCAGGTAGTCTTACCAGTGTCCATGTGTTGTTCCTGACCAAGGCATCATATTCTTCTTGAACAGCTGTCTTCCACTTAACAGATTTAAGTGCAGCATGAATCGAATGTGGTTCTTCTTCTTCATCATCATTTTGTATGCTCAGGTACACTTTGGGTTTGAAAATCCCTCTCTTGCTTCTAGTTATCATGTGATGACTCGATACAACCCTGGAGCTTGGAGTAGCTCATAAGTCTGGCAGTGTCATCTCTTGTTGCTCATCCATTACATCATTTTTAGTATTTACATGTTGCTCAGTTCCAGCCCCTTCAATATCATTGTCAGTAATATCATGATGAACAGAACCAGCATCTTCAGCTTCAGCAGATTGGTTCATCAAACCTAGATTCAGAATCTTGAACTGAACTGCCTACAGGTGGTTGAGTATTAACCTGTAGACTTTGACCTATGCAATCATCAGCTCGAGCACACACTCTATGAGCACCATTGATGACTGCCAGCTTTCGAAGAGATATCTGACCCGTGTTGGCTGCTTTGTCACTGCTTCCTGTAAAGGAAAAACAAGATTCATCAAAAACTATATGCCTCGAGATATATATTTTCCCACTTGGTGCTAAGCATTGATATCCCTTATGATGGGCACTGTAGCCAAGAAATGTACACGGTTGAGACCTAAAGTCCAACTTATGTTGCTGAAATATTCGAAGATGTGGGAAAAACCTGCACCCAAAAACATGCATATCACTGTAATCTGGTTGCTTGTTGTAAAGTGCTTCAAAGGGTGACTTTCCATGCAAGACCTTAGTAGGAAATCAGTTTATAAGATACACAGTTGTGCTTATAGCATATGACCAAAACTTTAATGGTAATGAAGCTTGTGCCATTAAGACTAACACTGATTCAATAACATGTATGTGTTTTCGCTCCACCACACTATTTTGCTCTGAGGTGTGAGGGCATGTCAATCGATGGTGGACTCTCATATTATCCATCATTGCTGTTAATGGCCTATATTCTCCACCCCAGTCAGTTTTCAGCTCCCTTATTTTAGTTTCAAACTGAGTTTTTACAAAGGCATGAAACAATTGAAAAGTCTGCATGGTTTGGTCCTTGTTCTTGAGCAAATATACCCAGCAGTGCCTTGTACATGCATCATATAATACCTGAAACCATTTGAGATTATGTGTGAAGGTCCCCATAAGTCAGAGAATACTAACTGAAAGGGTTTGTCATACACTGTGGTTGACTCATGGAATGGCATTTTATGGCTTTTCCCCATTCGACAGGCTATACAAACGTTTCTACATTCTTTATTAAACGAGGAGGCAACATTGACCCCAATTTATTTACAAAATTGCATCAATGATGCATGAGCAGGATGCCCAAGCCTTTGATGCCACAAGTCATACATGTTTATGCTAGTGGCTACATTTACTACTATTGAACTTGACTTCTTATTACAAGATGCATTATCAGCAGCAAACTGATACATACCATCAGTCTCCCAGCCTTGCAGCAGCACTTCTCTAGTCTTCTCATCCTTCACCAGGCAGTGACTTGCATGAAACTCAAAGAATACTCCTTTCTCTCTAGCAAACTTAGAGACAGATAAAAGGTTTTTAGTGACATCAGGAACATGAAGTAGATTATTAATGTAAAGGGCTCGAGATCTGGTTTGAATGAGGGATGGACCAGTTTTATATATATCAAGATTCTTTCCATTTCCCACAACCAACTTACCTGGTCTAGAATAGTCAGATCCATTGTTAAGTTTGGAGTTGTCTGGGTGATATGGTGAGTAGCTCCAGAGTCTATAACCCATTTATCCGAGCTGGAAAGTGATGAAGATGAAGTCTATATTGGAGCACATCCATTATTCGTACATGTATAGCATTCATTTTCAAACCTAGTTACCTGTGTGTTGAAAGACTCGTGTTTGTCAACCAAAACTCCAGAAAATGACTGATCAAACCGATGTCAGCATCGATCCACAGTGTGCCCCATCTTTCCACACAATTGACACTGCACCCTTACTCTTCCACGACCTCGTGTACATGTTCGACCACGAGAGTACTACTGTGACATTCTTTCATTTCCAGTGTATTGTTGATCAGTAGATTGATCAGAGAATTTTCTTTGATTGTTATGTTGAACATGTGCAACATTGGCACTGAGAAGTGGTTGAGACTTTACTTGAAAGCTTTTAAGCTGAGCTTCAGCATCAATTAGTATAGACTGGACTCCATCCACTGTGAATGCATCTTTGTTTGTTGTAATAACAGTAATAAAAGGTTAATATTCAAATGGAAGTCCATTCAGAATTGTGGCAACCTGGTCAATGTTAGATATGACACTGCCACATGCTGCTAATGCATCACACACTTCTTTGATTGAAGTGAGGTATGACCGCATGCTCTCATCTCCTTTCTTGATGGATCGTAACTTACAATGCAACCTCATTATGCTGGTAGTCGATCGATTTAAAAAGAATTTAAGAACTGTAGTCATACCTCAGCAGCAGTTTCAGCACCAACAAACTGTGGAAGTAGATGATCACTGATGGTGGATAATAACCATAAGGCCAAGGCACTATCTTGGGCCACGAACACATCATACTCCTCATTGATTACAAGATTGACATATGCATCAAGTATTCTCTCAAGAGGACAGCGGAGATCATCGGCGAGTAATCTCTCAAGTCGATGACTTCGAACTGTTAAGAGGACCTGCTACTTCCATCGAAGGAAATTCATTTCATCAAGCATGATGTTTATGCATTTATTAGTAAACATCTTGCTAGGCCTTAATGACTCTGAACCTCCAAGAATGTTTCCAGAACCACTGAATGTCATGACACCAGTTCTTGCAAGATGGATCCAGAAATCTCGCCAAGACGTATCATGCAGCAGAAGAGGAAATGAATCTTATCCCAGAACCAACTGAGTGAATGATACCATAATGGAAAACTCAATTGATGTGAAAAACTGAATATTGTTTCTTGATTAAATTCAAGTAATATTGTTGTTCTTTATATACATGAAGAGGCAACCGTTTAACAACTATAACAACTATAACAGAAAGCAGTTATGCTGCAAACTAACATAAGCTGATAAGCAACGCTAAGCTGGCACATGTTGCATGCTCGAGCATGTTGTACTCTATCCAATACTAGGGGACTGCCAATTTCATCAATGTTCGATTCCGAGTTTTCATTCCTTTGCCAAAGCTTTCAAAGATTTCATTTTTGTTGAGCAGAGGAATCTGAAGGGGTAGTGGTTTTTTTCTAATCATTTTGTTTTGTTTTTGTGCTTTGGTTAACACGTTTTGAAGGAGGCTTAGTGATGTATAGTTGGTTAACATTGATTCATTTATTAATAAAGGTAAGTATATTTTTTGTTTAAAAAAATACATGTAAATATGTTATGAGTGTCAAGTTAGTATTAAAATTTATAATATAAATATATTATATCAACAACTAATATTAATAATTAATTAATTAATTTTATTTAAAAAGAATATTAAAAAATATTTTTTTATAAATACTAAATTTAATTTTAATTTTATCTAGAGAAAAGGAATGAGGACTTTAGAGAAAGAAAAGAAGATGTTCTTAGCGACTTTAGAATTCATGATATAAAAGAATATGAGAAAACAATAACGAATAATTTGAGCAACTTATATGTGTTTGTCTAAAATAATTATTTAAATAAATATTAAAAATAAAATTTGATATCTTTCCTTTTAACTCTTCTTTTAAATGAAGTTGCAATCCAACAAAGTTCCTTCTAATTCTTCTTTTAAATGAAGTTGTAATCCAACAAAGTTAAGAACAACTAGGGGGTGATTATTAAGTGAATGATAGCAAGTTGGATAATATTCAACTCGTGCTCGTTAAAAAAACTTGTTGTTTGATTCGACTTGTTACTCCTTAAGTTATTTAAACTTTTACTCAGCTCGTGCTCGTTAAAAAAACTTGTTCGATTCGACTCATTACTCGTTAAGCTCGTTACTCATTAATTTTATTGAAATTTTTACTTTGTTTTTAACTATAGGTCAAATCTACTAATACTATATAGATTAATAATTTATCATTTTTTATTTTCTATTAGTAAATTAGTATTTTTTTATGTAATAATGTTTTAAGATAACAATTAAAAAATTATTAAAGAAATTAATGAGCTACTAGAACTTATTGAGTCGAGCTGGACTTTGCACGACTCATTTTGTTAAGATCTTGCATCGAGTCTGAGAGTTCGAATCGAATCAACACCAATCTAACATTAGGCATTAGATACGATCCCGAGCAATGTCTATTTGTTTTTATTAAGAAAACATTGGCACTAACATTTGCGTCGGCTATGAGGCCTGTTCCTTTGGGACAACGCCACATTATGAGAGACGCATGTTTAAGTTATAATGATGGATATGTGAGTGAATGTTTAATTTTCACCCATCAACCTCAATAAAGTGCATTTTTAGTGAGATGTTACAATGGAGTTCTAATGCCTATTTTGTGAAATTTAAATTTTATTAAAAATTCAATAATAAATAAAATTATTTTAGTAAAATGTAATAATTATTTATTCTATTTCATATTAATAATGAACATCAATAGCACATTTCAATGTAGAACAATCATTATAGACGTAAAAACCCATGAATATCCCAAATAACACTCAAACCTCCTTTTTTTCCTTCAATTTTTCAACTTGAGTCTCAAACCTTCTATAGACCTAATGGAGGAAACATATTTCCAAAAATTAATGAACATATTTTGTCTTCTTTAAAAAAACATGATTTAAATTTTAAACTACAGTTAATTAATGATAATTAGTGGCTAACATCCACGGTTGACCATTTCCATGTACTGATTAAGCGACTCTTGTCTCTGCAATCTCATTTCATCATTGAACTTCTTTATGAACGCTTCCACTCGACGGTTCAACTCATCCTGACTCAGCCACGGTTCTTTCCTCAGCTTCACCGGAGAAGGATAGCTCACCAGTTCAGTTGGAGGCTGGTAATTGGTCCGGTCCCTGAAGGTCGCCAACTTCTTCATCGCCGCCGTCGAATCGGACAATGCCTCGACGTTGATATCACGGCCGTGATTCTCCCACGTGTCCGATTTCTTCAAATGCCTCGTCAACGGCATTGATTTCCCTTCCGTTATCATCTTCCACGTGTTCTCCAGCGTCTCGTGGCGTTTGGGTTTCGCCACCCTTAATGCTCGGTCACCTGCATTAAGCAATAGTTATTAATTATCATTACTCTTAGCCTTCTTAATCACGCGATTTAGATATTATTAGTTTCTTGATCATACGTTTTAAAAGGACTATTTTGAACTTATTCAGTGGCGCGTCGTCAAGTAGACGCCATCATTGAACGGACTTGAAAAAAAATTAAATGTTTATTTCTAATTTTAAGCTCTCTGCTATTCTGAAATATACCGAATAAAACGACACAGTTTCAGTCTGAAGAGTGATAGAACATGCAACACGTGTGAAAAAAGAACTGAAACGCCGCCGGAGCGGCTCCGTCGAATGGGCCAGAAAGCTTTTCAAAAGATTTTTGAATTTCAAAACAGATATATACACAAACCTAACCGACTAACCGCTAACAATTTTTAAAATAAAATATATGTAAAAAACTCGATAGGAAAAGAAAACTGCTAAATATACCATCAGGACTGGCTTTGACGGGTTTCCGGTGACCGAATCTAGAGGAAGCCGGTGGTTTCTCTATCAGAAACAGAGCATCCGATGGAATTTCTGACGAATCCATTCTCCTCGGTGGAATCCACTCCGATTTCAAGATAGCAAACTCGTCACTAACCGCTACATTGGTCTCCGCCTCAAAAACCGTCGTTTCCACCTCTTGTACTCTCTCCTTCAGCTCGTACGCAACCGGTTCATCTACGCCAAAATCCAAGCCGCTCTTCATCTCGTGCTCCACCGCTGGCGGTTGATCCACAGAGATCTTCGATCTCCGTTGCTGCTGCATCTCCTCGGTCTGTTCACTCTCGCCGTTGTTTTGATGAAACCGCGAAGATGCTGCAATTGTGATTATGATTCCGTTGATGATGACGTAAAGATACGGCGGCTTGAGCCAAGAACGGAACGCGCTCCACAATAACGGAGCTTGAGAAACGGAGAATTCCAATACCAATGGAACAGAGACTTTAAGCCCTAAAGTTATGGTCAATACACCGATGGAAATGAACAATACCTTTAACGATAACATCCAGGTGCTCGCCGACGCCATTTTTGGATACTTCTTTGTGCTGACAACGGTAGGGGGTGGGAGGTGACTGGAAACATATAGAGAGGGACAGTTGGACGCTGTTTATGATTGAATCTTGCCCGTTAGATTTAAAAGATATATAACTGAACGGTAAAGATTTGTTTTCAGGTAAATATTAGTTGGATTACATTTTCAAAAAATATATAAATATTAATAGTTAAAAGATAAGGCGAGGGGTTAAAATGAAGCTTTCTTTGTTGCTGTTTAAGTGGGACACGAAAACAATTGATCCTTCAAGAACTTTACCATCTTAATTATGTTTTTTTGTACAATTATTTTGTTTTTCTAATCAATCACATCACCTATCTTATATTTATAGCATTAGTTTATATTATTTTTTTATTTATATTGTAAAACTGGTCAAAGTTTTTATTAAAGAATATTGATGTATAAGTATAAAGGATAGATTATGATTGTGTACATTGGTGGAAGTTCATTTTTTTTAATTTAAGCAAAACATTGTTAATAATGATAGTTGAAAAAATAAGATGAAAAAACCATCAAAGGGATTCAGATTATTTATTCTTACTGAAAGAGTAAAAACCAACACTTATTTTATACAATAATAATTTTAGAGTCCAAATAATTTTTTTTTAATGTCTAATAATTATAATATAACAATGAACTATTATTTTATTTAAAATTAAAATAATTTAATTTAATAAAATCATTTTTTTACTTCTACTAATCAAACGCTACATAAGATTTAGTTTTTTATTTTCAATTACGTAAGCTTCGCGTGTAAAAGGATTTATCCCATACATATGAAACATAAATTAAATTAATAATTTTGGATAATTGAAGGTTGAAGAATATATATTATATTATAATGCTTGTAGTGGTTGGACGTTAGCTGGGTGGGGATTATTTGGTAGTGATTTTTTTTTATATCAAAAGAATGTAGGGACCATAAAAGTAATAATAGAAGGCAGAGGGTTCGAAATTCAAGAAGTGTATTATGCTTTTTCAGGACTGAAATGAATTAATCTTTATAGAGAATGTACCGTAAAAGATCGAAATGAGTTGCAATTTTCAGGAATTTGGCTGGCGGTAGGGAAATCTTTTGAATATTTTAATAAAAGGATGGAATATATATAGTAATTATTTTTTCCAACGGTCGTATAATTGACCTTTATTCGCGCAAGTTGTTGCAATATCCTGAGGCGCCGATCCGGTGGGTGCGGAGCGGAGGGCTTGGCTACGCCCTTTTGGTCCATGTGCCCTACAGCTTTTGTGGGTGCATCATTGACCGAACATCCCCTTTCTTCTCTTGCTCTCTACTAAACACTGAAATAATTCATCAACCCCAATTTGGAATTTGGTGTAACCTAATTTCTAGGGTTTCAATCGTATGAATTTAGTAAAAATAATAATTATTATTCTTTAAAGTCTACGGTTTGAATATCAAGAATGTCAAAGGTGTAAACGTTCAATGTTAAATGATTAATAACTATCTTTGAATGAATATTATCTTGTACTTATCTCAGATTAATCAATCTTATTACTTAAGGTAAAATATACTAATAATCACCAAAATTTTAGGACACTTATACTCTGATCGTCAAAAATAGAAAAACTCTCAGTAGTATTACTATCATTAAGCAAAGCTTTCATTTTGCTTATTGAGTTATTAAACTATTATTGACAATTCATGTGACACATTAAAAGTCCTAAATAAATTCAACAATTGTCACTCATCTTTTCATCGTCATCCAATGATTTTTCCGGTCAAAAAGATCATCCAACTACCTTTCTTCTTCTTCTTTTTTCCTTCAATTAAACTCGTTGCATAATATTTTAGTTTCATCAAATCTCAATTGAAATTAGAAGTTAAATTTTTTTATCTACCATATCTAATCGTTAGATCAATTTAAAATCGAACTATATTAATCTTCTAGATAAAAAAATCTTCTCACCGTTGAGATTGATCGATGATTGTTCCGTTCATCGTAAAATTTGACCTTTATGATGACTACAAATTTAGAATCTTAGGTATTTTTGCGGAAAAGACTTTAACATGTCACATCAATTTTTCTTAATGACAACCAACTATAGTTATCATAATAAAAATGAACTAAAAATTTCAATGAATGTAATATAAGTTTTAAGAATTCTATGTGTAACACCCTTAAACCGTATACGTACTTAAATATGAGTCAAAGATGTTACATAGCTTTACATACATTCTAAGGTTGAAAATCCAGTAAAATTTTGAACTTTTAAAATTTATCCAATTTAAACCTTTCAATAAATAATGTAATCACGTAAAATCATATTATAGTATTTAAGCCTCCAAATCAATATCAGTTTTAGGCAACAACTAGACAATTCTATATTGTTCCATATCATAAGATAAACTGTCTAATTTAAAATATTTCTTTACTTTGTCAAAATATAATTTTTAACTATAACACAAAACTTAAATTCATATTTATATCCATAATAACATATCTTAGACTTTTCTTATTCTTATACACGCCATCTAGAAAATTTAAAATACTAGGATGACATTACTGATACCTGTAACTTTTTCTTTATTGATTGATGCCTACTCAACTCCGTACTTCACTTGCTCTTCTTTACCTACGCATGAAATCATCACACGCTAAGTATACACTTAGTGAGGCATTATAATCAAACTAAAGTGATATAAATATCAAACAACTTAACAACATATTCACTTATATAAAATTTAATAATATCATAACAATTTAAAACATTAACTTAAATTCCAATAAAATCACTAAATATCCAAAACGATTTATTCAAGCTATTTTTCCTCATTAAGGACCTGAAAATCACCATCTCATGATTTTATCAAAACCATGATAAACAATATCATACATAATAGTTGTAACACCCCAACCCGTATCCGACCCGGGTCCGAGTCCGAGGTGTCACATTGACTTTTCAAAACTCTTTTCTTTACAAATCCACCAAAATCTTAAATTCATTATTTGAGAAAGTTAGTACTTTTTAGAAATAAATATAATCTAATTGTTTTACAAACCAATCAGAGCATATTCAATCCAAATCTTGTAACTACATGCCAACTAAATTCTATAACACAAAATACATATACTCCATATGTTTCTGATCTGATATTCGTAAGGAAGATGATAACCTATTTTGCTCCTCTTAGCTTCTCTTCTAGCTTTTGTAGCCTACGTGTGAAACAATCACACGCTAAGTCGATGACTTAGTGAGGCATAAATAAACTGACTATAGCATATCATAACTAATTCCTATTATGCACATTTCATGTAATCATGATAAACTATAGAATGCATCCAAACATAAAGGCGTATTTCATAACACAAAGCATATAAATCGTATGCAATAAATTAATTATTATCTCTTTAATAATCTTATATTCGTTCTTTATCTTTTAGTAATATGTACTTGTACCTATTCTTCTTACCAGGCTATATACATATCATCATATCAAATATATCATTTAACCATAAAGATTACAAACAAAGCACATAATATCATACAAGGTTCTTTTATATCATCTTCTTTATTATCCCATGTACACATGTGATAACTATAGATATGTGAGTCTATAGAGGTTGTGCACTAATGTTATCACCAAAGCTCGTATAATTACACTGAAGTGCCACGTAGAATTGCACCGAAGTATCGCGTAGAATTGCACCGAAGTGTCGCGTAGAATTGCACCGAAGTGCCACGTAGAATTGCACCGAAGTGCCATATAGAATTGCACTGAAGTGCCATATAAGATGTCCCTAAGGACCACGTAAAAATTCCTTAAGAATCATATACATATGCCAAGGATCAAGTATGTGTCTCAAAAGACCTCACACATGTTCCAAATAATACATATATCTCCCGAAGGACCGCGTAGACCCTCGACTCTTGGCATGCCAACTATACCTCTAGCTCTCTTGACAGATAACACGGGCATTAATATTTAGATTATCTCATATTCACATATGCATATAGTCTCATAGTTCTTCCACGTAGCTCATTATCACATTTTCATAAGATCACACAGTCACGTAGTTCATTTCCATATAGTTCACATGTACATATATACTCATATAGATATTATTATTTCTCCTGTAATCACATAGATCACATCTCATAACATACATCATGTACATATAATAACTTATCGCATATCATATAACTTATGGTTTGTACTTTTATACTCACATCATTTATATACTAATTTCATATATTGCCTTAGTTCAGTTTCACATAGTTTATCACATATACATGTATTCTCATAAATTATCATCAAATAGCTCCAATAACATCTTCCTATGGCTTCATTTAAGCCTATAAATCTTTCTCATATAATTTATCTCTTGTTCTCATTTGTTTATATTTATCATATAACACATAACTTTTATTGCATGTTTATATCGCATTCCTACATCACTAATTCATAATATAATTTATATTGTATCATCTATCTTATTCTTTATTTCTTGGTGTGCACTTATATTACATAACATATGTCACATTTATAAACATATATATCTTATATTATATGTGTATATCATCACTTTATATACAAGTTTACTAAGTGATATATTATTCACAGTTCATTTTATAATTCAATCTTGTCTAGTTTTCTTAAATTCTCATAAATCATATAATATCTAATACACTAATTCTCATAATTGATCATATCACTATGTACTTGTCTAATTCATGTTTCCATTATTCATATAACCTTTATACATGTTTACCTAGTTCCTATTGTTATCATGAATTCACTTTCATCATATTCTCCTATTATTACATATTTTATCGTATAACCATATATTCACATAATCTTGTATTTCATTATCATATAACTTATATTTGTTCTCTTATAACTCTTCATATTCATATATTTTCATTTCCATAAATTACATAAATCTTATCACATGATTTATCCTTTATACTCATATAATTTCATATCTATTCTTATATCATCATATAATTTATGTAAACATATAT